AAATATTTCTATCTATTCCGTGGATTTTCTATATAGCATTTTAAAAGAGTAAAAACATAAATGAGGAAGTAAAATAAAATTATCTTCCCAAATCAAATAGTAAAGATATAAATAGAGACAATAGTACCATAAACTTATCATCTGAAATATTTCTTTTAGTGAAGACTAATTTGCATCAGTCCATATCTACACTGCATGAAGATAATCTCCTTTGTGCTAATTGAACAATGCAATACATATTTATTAAACGAACTCTGTATGGAATACATTATGCTAAATCCCCTAATACATTTAACAAAAAGAGATTCACTAAGATACAGTCCATGTTTTTCAGAAGCCTAAATTCTAAAAGAAGAGAAAATTGTAGAAATATAAACACAGTACATGTTTGAGCATTCTAAGTACTGGTGAGAAAAAAATAGGCTAATGAAATTCAAAAGACTAAGTGTTACCATATGGTTGGTAGAAACAGGAAAAGTTTCCTGATGATAGTATCACTTAAAATGACCTTGAGATTCCGGGCTCAGTGGCTCAGCCTGTAATCCCGCGCCTTTGGGAGGCTGAGGTGACTGGATTGCCTGAGCCCGCGGGTTCAAGACCCGCCTGGGCAGCGAGACCTCATCTCTACAATAAATAAAAAAAAAAAAATCAGCCGGGCGTGGTAGTACATGCCTGTAATTCCAGCTACTTGGAAGGATCGCCGGAGCCCTGCAGGTCGAGGCTGCGGTGGCCGGGTGTGGCCACTGCACTCCAGTCTGGGCGACAGAGTGAGACTCTGACTCAAAAAATAAATAAATAAATAAATAAATTAATTAATTAATTTTAAAAATGACCTTGAGGAATCAGTAGCATTTCAACAGATGGAAATGGGAGGAAACATAGGGAATTCAGTAGAATTGGAGTCCTAAAGACATGTACCTACTCCATCTCTGACTTTTCCGGCTCCTTGCCTTGAAACGCAAACAAAAAAGTAAACAATTTAAAACTAGCTTGCCTCCTGTTAGAAGCTAGAATTCTTGAGTCCTTAATAAAAGGTGAAAGTGAGGGAAAGGTGTTTATGATCTTGGTGAATGACCAAGAACCAGTTGCATGAAAAGACATATGCACCCCATGAGATACCTGTATCAGATATCATTGATCTCCTAGTTACTGACAGGTAGATCCCCAGGATACAGTGCTGGACTGTCCTGATTCTCTTAGCTTTAAGAAATTCCAAATATGATGTTAACTAGAGAGGAGATGAGGCTCCTCCCACCTGAGAGGAGATGAAGCTTTGGGCTAAGAATAGGATGCTTGAATTCCATCTGAGAACATGGAAATATCTACGCCACAGCCTAACAATTGTCAATATATGAGTGTGTGTAACTGAAGTTAAATATGTCATAGAATGATTGGAAAAGAAACTTACAGGATTTCCTCATTGAGTAAATTTTTTAAAACTTATCATAGGGGAAAAAAAATAAAATGACTGTACCAATCCAAAAGAGCCAGTACCACTAGTAAGAGTTCCAGAAAGAAAGATAAGACACTAAATTGAAAGAACTCATTGAGTACCCAACACAATGAATGCAAATAATAGACACACAAAAGCATCACTTGGTGAAATTTCAGTACACCGGATATAAAAATTGTAAAAGCATTTAGAGAGAAATAGAAAAAGAGACAAAACAAATCTAGGTTACATATAAGTAACAAGAATTCTCAACACCAACATGTAATGGTTAAAAAATTTGAACCAAAGTTCTAAAAATTCTGATTAAAAATAATTTTTTCAGCCTAACTTCTAGGCTCAAAGAGTAACTTAAGTATGAGATGAGAATTAAAAAATCTCCAGTCATGTAAATGTACAACATAATGTCATACATGTAATAGCCTTTCAAAATTATTTAATTTGAATATAATTATGATAGCAATCAGACAAACTCAGGATATGGGTTGTTCTATAAAATAATTGATTTGGACTACTTTATAAAAATTTCCGGTCTTGTAAATGTACAGCATAATATCATACATGTAATAAATAGCCTTTCAAAAAATATTGAATTTGAATATAATTATGATAATAACCAGACAAATTATATAAAATAATTGATTTGGACTACTTTAAAAAGTCAACATTATAGGAAGTAATAAAAGGCTGAAGAACTATGCTAGTTTTAAGAAGACTAAGCAGGTATATTCACCAAAGGCAATACACAACTCTTGAATGGATTCTTTTTTTTTTAATAGCTATAAAGATAAAAATAGCTATAAAATTCATAAATGCTTGGGACAATTGCAGAAATCTGACTAGAAACATCACAGTATAATGGAATAATTGTGGATTTTTAGGAGTAATAATACTGTATTTACATAAAAGAATATCCTTACACTCAGGAGATGCAAGCTGAAGTATTTTGGGATACAATGTCATGATTCTGAAACAAATTTGCAAATTATTTAGAAAACATGTTTATATAAGATAATATAAATGAGACAAAACCTCAACAATTGGTAAATATAGGTGAAGGGTAGATGGTTTCCATTGTGCTATTATTCCAACTTTTTTGTATAACTTAAAATTTTTACTCAAAAAATAAAAATAAAAAAGCTGGGGTAGAAAGAGGAGGGGATTGTAAAGCTAAACAAGAGAGAGAGCCAGAGACAGGAAAAAAGTAAGAGAGACTCAGAGGGAGATAGAGAGGATCAAAATATTTTTCTCCAGTGTGTCTTTTAATAGAGGTTTCCGTAAGAGGTGTTTCAGCAAGAAATGATACCAGGAAAAGATGAAATCTGACAAAAAGGAGTTCAACACAAACAGTGATGAAAGCAGTCTTAGGAAAACCTCTCTGACTTCAGGTCTAGAAATTCATTAGTCTGGACCAGAGGGCAAAGATATGGTTTTTCGGGAGGTAGTCTCTATGTAGCACACAAGGAAATGATGGATTGGTTATCTGATGGTTTTGAATTTGATGGTTTGGAAATATTATTGCTAGTTTAATATGACCTATTGGGACAATTGAGAACATTTCTAAATATTTAGAAAACCAAGAAAATAATAAAATGAATGAGCAATTATTAACTTCAAGAGAAGTGAAATTGGGTATGAGAATAAAAATGGAATTATAGGACTCAATTTAGATCATCAGTAAATAATAATTATGTGTTATTGCTCAACAATAATGTTGACCTTGACTATTTATTTAACAAGAAATTATGATGAAGCTATTTAGGAAGTTAAGTATAAGAAAAAATATGGGGCTCTGCATAGTGGCTCACACCTGTAATCCCAGTACTTTGGGAGGCTGAGGTGAGAGTATCATTGAGCCCAGGAGTTTGAGAACAGCTTAGGCAACATAATAAGCCTTCATCTCTACAAAAAAAATGAAAAAAAATAAATAGTCGGGTATGATGGCACATACCTGTAGCCCAGCTGAGGTGGAAGGATCACCTGAGCCCAGGAGATTGAGGTTGTGATGAGCTGTGATCATGCCACTGCACTCCAGCTTGAGTGACAGAGTGAGACTCCAATTCAAAAAAAAAAATACACATAGGGAAGAATCTATGATAGAAGTTAACAGTCCAAATGGCCGGTCGATAACAAATGATAAAAGTCATAATTCAAGCCAATAATAACTTATATTACTTAATAACACATAAATAAATTATAAAATAATAGACAAAAAGACTGAAAGAGAACTAGAAGTTGAAGGAGAGCAAGACAAAAAACTACTTTTTTGGACATAAATGCTTGTGTACCATATTTCAACAATCTGCATGTCATTCTTCTATAAATACAAAAATTAACTTTAGAATATTAAAAAAATTTCGGTTCAGTAAGAATTAAATTAGGATATTCAAAAATCAAATAGAGATGCTATTCCATACTGCAGAGCAAAAATATGATGCAATGAAAAAAATAGAAGTGGAAGCTTGATTCAGAAAACCTATGTAAGTAATAGCATTATGTAAAGGGTAAACTACATTGAAAAGAAGAAATAATGAAATAAAAATTTTAAAACTTTCTTAAGTTATTAAAAAATATTAGTCTTTGGATTAAATGGATTCAAAAGTCTTAGTCAAGATCCAAGATTTCACATCTAGACATTTTCTGTTGTAATTGCTGAACAAGATAAAAAAGAGATTTGTAAGTCTCCAGACTGAAATGAAGTTATGAATTGATAGAGTGGGATGCAACTGTATTCCAGAGAAAGAGATGCATAGCATCAGAAGCAGAAAACCTGAAGGTTTTTCCAGAAGCAGGGAGTAATCAAGATGGATGGCTAAGGTTTAAAGTTAATGACCACTAAGGGAAATAAAACTAAATCATTCATATAATGATTGATAACTGGAGTGTGTAATTTCTAGCTTCCTTGCACATGCTGCAATGACAAATTTGCATTAGCTTTGTTAGTGTAATTTAGTCAGGTAATAAAACTCACCACACAACATTATTTTATTTATGAGATGTAGAAATTATAAAATGTGCAACAAAGTAAGAGGTCTTTATTTCACTCTTTTCTTCCTTTATTCTTTCCTTTCTTTCTTTCTTTCCTTATTTTTGTAGTAATGATTCCATATTTTTTACTTGAAAGTTGACCACAATTTACATACCCTGTACTTTATAGTTTCTATATTATTATTATTATTATTAGGACAAGATAAAAGCTCCCAGTAGGGGTTGTAACAAGGACACTAGCACCACCCTTAGGTTATCACAGTTGTTCTTATCTACCCAAATATTTTTAAAAATTATTTTGATTAAAATTCTAAATAAATCATAGAGTAGGCATTACTATTTCAATGATATTCTGAGTTTAATTAATAAACATTAATACCTGACTCCAGAAATGTTAATCAAGGTTATGTAGGAATTTTTAATCAAATAAAACATGATATATGATCACTAACCAAACATGAAAACTAAACCAAAGTCACCTTGTATAAAATTATACTATCTAAAAAAGACCAGAGTTAATCCAATTGATTGTTAAGAGGTCTTTCTACCATTTCTGCCCCAGGGTTATGATGATGGCTATGGAGGTGAATATGATGACCAGACATATGAGGCTTATGACAACAGCTATGCGACCCAAACACAAAGGTAAGGCATTTGCTATCTAAGGCATCCTTCTCGAGATTATCTCCATTATCTCATTTCTTGAACCTCAATATCAGTTATATTATCAACAGTTTCTAGCATCAGTTTTCCTCCATTATCTTTCTGTATTATTAAGATGCTTATAGATTGTGAGAAGTAAAATACAATAATCTTGCAGTTGCAAACAATGAAATAGTAGTATGTTGTTCTGAAACTGGATGATTATTATTACCAATCAACTTATTAAACAAGCATGTATTTAAATAGTTATTTTTCAAGTTTTTTTTAGTAAACTCATAATTAAAGCAACAATAAAAGCAAGGCATTTGTTAAATGTGACTTTCTTCTCCCTAAACTTTAATTTTTATTGTAAAACAAAAGATAAGAAAATGTTATCGGTATTATGAAAGGAGGAAAATTATTAAAACATCTTTGGAATCAAGAATTCTTTTAGCCGGGCTCGGTGGCTCAGCCTGTAATCCTGCGCCTTTGGGAGGCTGAGGTGAGTGGATTGCCTGAGCCCGCGGGTTCGAGACCCGCCTGGGCAGCGAGACCTCATCTCTACAATAAATCAAAAATCAGCCGGGCGTGGTAGCGCATGCCTGTAATTCCGGCTACTTGAAAGGCCGAGGCGGAAGGATCGCTGGAGCCCAGCAGGTCGAGGCTGCGGTGGCCAGGAGTGGCCACTGCACTCCAGTCTGAGTGACAGAGTGAGACTCCAACTCAAAAAAAAAAAAAAAAAAAGAATTCTTTTACTTCCTTGATGGATCCGTTAATGATTGTTGAATATATCTCTTTAGATTGGCCCAAAATTTGTTATATCAATAACTTATACTCCTTCAGAGTCAGATTTATTGATTGATCTGCTGTTTGTATACAATAAAATGTACCCATTTAGAGTACAGTTATATAAGTTTAGCAAATGCTAACTACCATGTAACTACCACCAAAATTAAGATATGGAACATTTATATTACCCCAAAATATTTATTCATGGCCCTTTGATATCCATTTTTCTCTCATACCCTGGCCCTGGGAACTACCATCTGTTTTTTGTCACCACAGTTTTGTCTTTTTTAGAATGTCATACAATATAATACCATATGTCATACAATACAATACGATATGTTGCTTTTGAGTCTGGCTTCAACTTTTTTGACATTTATGGATAAAATTGGGTAAAACAAACAAATACATTTTTTAAAAATCAAAAATCAATCACTTTTTTTCTTTAAAAAGGTTACAATTTTTATAGGAAAATAGAGATGGGCTCTGTGATGGTTAAATGATTTTCCCCATTATGTGATTTACAGAAGTCAATGAAGCTAAATGTTGTAAAATCATTATATCATTAATCACTTATTGATCGATTTTATTAACACCCAAGGAGACTTAACAAATAAGTCTTCTTTAATGTTTCTTAAGTAATCTTTACGGGAGAGAAGGTGACAAAAAATGAGCAGCTTTATGTACTGCAGAAGTTTGGATTTTTCCATGGCCTGAGGGACAGCATAGTGAAATGGGTGAAGGGGAATTTTATTTAGAGAGAATACTATGGGCAATTAGGAAAAATATGAGTGTGAGCCAATACCTTTAAAACTAAGTATGACTTAAAATATCACTATGGAAATGACTTTGTTTGACACCGAGTCACTGGTTAATTTGCAGTATATTAAATAGAGAAGCCATCATGAGCCAAGAGCTTCTGTTCTGGGTAATATCTTAATTGTCACATTTGCATATTGGAACACAGCACAGTTATTTAGGATGTGGGTACATTTTGTATCACGTCACAGACACTGAATGAATACTGTATGCAAGTTGGCTACATATTTTGAGCATCTGCTAATATTTTCAGTCAAAATATTAGTTCAGCATTACATATTAGTACATAAAAATCATGATAAAATTAGTTCGTATTACATATTATTGCATAAAAATAGTGATAACAGTTCTCTAACTTGTTTCAGAAACACTTGATAGAAAACATAATTACTATACATTACAAACACAATTACAGTAGACTAAAATAATTATTTTATGTTGTCTGGAGACATTTAGATTGTAATCATTTTGCTAAAATTTTCTGAAAATGAACTTTCTATATCTTTCTTCTGGTGAGATTAAATGGGCTTACCTGATCCTAAAAACAAGGAATAAGAAAATAGGGGATTAGGATAAACTATCTTTGAAGATTTGAAAAGTGAATACTAGAATTATTTAACACACATATATAAAAAGTGATGACAATATGGAATAATTCTGAAAAAAATGCACTTTATCTTATTATAATGAAGATTTATAGGGGAAAGGGCTTTTCTATGCACTTTTCCTGCCTTCTCTTTCCCTTTTCCTATTCACTCAAATTTTTATGGCTAAATTCTTCCCATTCTTCCAGGCCCAGCTCAAAAACCAACTCTTGCAAAAAGTCTTTTCTTCGTCCTTTATTTGGAAATAATCCATTTCTGCTGTGAATTCTCTCAGCACCACATCTTTACTTTTCTATAGCACTTTGTTTCTCTGCCTTGCGTTGGGATTACTTGTGTTCATGGTCCTTATTACTTTTACTATTTGCCTCAAATCCTTGTCTGATACACTCTCATACCCCTCAGAATACCAGGCATTAGGTCTTTCAAGGCTATATGCTGAAAGGATGATGACTGAGTGTGTGACTGTCAGGCCCAAGATGTTGTACACTATGAAGATACAAAATAAGAGTCTCATTCCTCAAAGAGTATACAAAATCCAGAATTACATGTATCGTATGTATGGACAAAATACTTATGGTTTCTCAGATAGATTAGTGCTAACCCAGAAGGGACAAAGGAAGTAGATCATGTAATTAGTTGCAGTGATACTAATGTTCTGTATTTGTGATAATTATTAAATGTCTATTTTGGTCATAATTGTTTCCTTGATACTAGTATAGTCTCTGGTATAGTCTCTGGTACACTAGAGGCTCTCAAAAAAGATTTGTGGGATAGACTGATGAAAAACAAGTAAACACATTTAATAGTGAAGTATTTCATCAGAAAACTGTGAGGAAGATTTTTCAAATATAACACCAATTTGTAATAGAAATGAATAAACACCAGAGTATTTATTAGACAATATATTTAATCTCTACCTTTATATTATTCCTTTTGGTCCAACTATGCCAGTAGAGAGCGAGATTAGCAGTTCAGTCAAATAATCACTTATTACGTGATTATGTCTGCCACATAGTATACAAACCATACAATTATAATACTTATTTTTAAATATATTTTAATATTTTCTCCTAAAAATTTGTTTGAGTAATTTTATATATAAATATATATGAATATATATCATATATAAATATATATATCCTGAAAATGTGTTCGAAGTCATTTAATATATATATATATCTACATATATATATATATACACACACGTGTTTGTATATATTTAAACACATGTATGCTACATATATTTAAACAAATATGTTGGGGTAATAATGAAGAGGTAATCAAGTATTAGGAAACTAAGAGTAAAAAAAAGTTCATTTTCTACAAGAATCAGTCTAGAATTTTTTTTTTTTCCAAGTGGTGTTTGTTTTAGCTGAACTTTGAAATGTAAAATTTGGATTGATGGAGGGAGATGATTTCTAAAGAAGTAAAAATAAAGAGAAATATGAGGAGGAACCACCCCCCCAAAAAACAGGATTATCTTTTGGAGGATAGACCCCTTGTAGTACAGGCTTCCCCTGCTGCATTCAGCTCCAGTTATTTTATTTTATTTTTTCCTCTTTTGAATTTCTTTCAACTTGTTTGCCCGTTTCATGATGGGTGATTTATGAGGGCATCTGCCTACACTGCGCTGAGTGTTCAGCGGTTTTTGACCCAAAACTGCGTGACCCCCATACCCCACTCTCCTTATTCACCCCATCTCACCCTGAGCAACTTCATATTTTTGTTTCTCTGGAAGAAAAAAGTCCTAAAAAGGAAATGTTTTGCCTATGTGGAAGAGGTGAAACAAACAAACACAGTAGAAACACTACAAGGCATCAGACCTGACAAGTTCAAAAACTGTTTTGAGCAGTGGAAACCACATCTCAATAGGTGTATTATATCAAACGGAGAGTACTTTGAAGGTGACTGAGGTTTAAACATGTAAGAATAAATACACAATTTTTTATAAATAAATTCCTTTGGTGGGTCCTTCATCATAAATAAGCATGATATTCCAGTATTTTCAGATAATACGAATATTATTTTAGCTCTATTGCAGTTAAAATCAGAGGAAATACTGAGTTAGGATCTTGAAGAAAGAACAGTAGAATATGTGTGACTTAGCAGAACTAAAGATCAAAATCTTTAGAGAAAACCATCTTTAATTGACTAGTTAGCACAGGTGAATACAGAATTTGTGATATTATAAAATAGAATCTGGCAGTTGCCTAAATGGAATAATTATATCATCCTCAGTAGAGATTCTTGGGGAAGTTCACAAGGTAACAACCCTACAAAGGTTCACCTGGAGTTCAGAAGCTATAACAGTTTTAATTAATCCCCAGTTATCTTGTAAGGTATCGTTAGTTCTAAAAAATTTTAAATGGATCAGAAAAGGTACTTCACTAAAGATTCCTCAGGAGGCAGCTTAACTGAGTGACATATTAATGACTGGCAAAGATGACAATGATATGAGTAGTCTCCACAATCTTTTTCTCTTGCTCTGTGTCTATTAGGAGAAACAGTAAAGAAACAGACTGATGAATTTATTATGAAAACTTCAAATTGCAGTTTCCAGGGGAAGTCTTGAAGTCTTTGGCCTAAGACAAGTTAACGTCCTATGATTAACACCTTTATTAATTGGACCAAACAATTAAATTCTGTTTAGGTTCTGATACCCTATTTTTTATATATTCCTCATTAACATTTTCCAAAGTCAACCTTATGAAATCACGTAAATTCACAAGATTTTGGCAACATTTCCCAATGCCCAAATTATAGAAAAAAGCATGTGTACCAAACCAAATCATA